GACCATCCTAGTCTCTTTACGCTTGGACTTGGATAATAGACTAGGATGGTCAACCTGACCATCCTAGTCTATTATTTGCAGTATAGTCTGTCTGTGTTCTTCTGTTCCCTCAGTAATAAAGGAACACAGCCACTGATAGAAAAATATAGAAATTCAGCCACTGATAGAAAAATACTGCATGTCTTCTGATTTGAAGACCCAAATCATAAAGCATCTTGAAATACTGCCTCAGGATAACTGAGAATTTCAGCCTCTGTGTATTTTCCATCATCTTGATAAGAGAAAAACTAATGAGATAGTATATAAGTAACATTTTATTAGTTACATTTCAATCAATGTACGCAGGTGGTTCAAAAAGAGCTTCTCATGTTGGAGTGTCATTTGTGGTTTGAGGCCTGCATGATGTGTATTCAGTGGGAAGAAGTGTATAATGTGGACTGATTTGCTTGGACAGAAAGCTTTAAATTTTTTTTTTTTTTTTTTTTTTTTTTTTTTTTCTGAAACCCAAAATTTTTTTGCTACAGAATTTGTACAATTATATCTAAACTTACAGTGTGGGTACCAAATTCTATACTGTTAGATTCTCTGATGGGTAAAGATAAAAAGTAGCGAGCTGCCAGACTTCATAGTAAAGTCTGCTATGAAATTCTCCAGTTGGTTCTTTTTTTAGTCCAACGGGGCTTTGTTCCTGAGGGACTATTGTTTTCGTTTTGTGGTTTTGGATTGAAACACTACAAATGGCTGTATCACTTTTCAGACTGTTGCCACCAAATATCATTTCCCTGCATTATATTTGAAGAAATTAAATAATGAAGAATTTGCTTAAATGTATGCATTTTCCTAGCATTGTGATAAAACAACGGTACCTAGAGCCATCCAATTTTGAATGACGTAATCCTACTGCAAATATGGGCATCTGAAAGCCCAAATTTGAAATTTGTTTTATTATCGATTTCATATTTTTAAAACTTCAGCGAATTTTTATTAACAAAGTGAGAAATGGCAACGTTTGTAGTACTGAGAAAACATTTTTATCTCCAGTGCATGAGACTTTGTATCTGAAATTCTAAAGATATGCTCAATTTAAAATTATTTTGCGATAAAGCTCTTGAAGTGAATTTTATGATTTAAGTGTGAAGAACATGATATTAATTAAATAAAGGTAACACATGAAATGTTATAAAAAAGCCCCTTTGTGCGTAATTTAAAATTTGAAACAGTTCAAAAAAATTTTTTGAGAGAGATTAAAATAGTAATCAAGTCTTGGCAATGACTAATAGAACTTGCAAGTAAATAATTGATTAAGAAGCATAAAACCTAGAGTAGAATATTGATAGGTGAAGAGAAGTTGGAAGGTGAAGGCCCTTTTAACTCGTCTGAAAATCTGTCACTGAGTTACACACAGTTAACTATTAACTCTCTCGCTGCATAATTTGTTTATCAAAATAGGTTCAAAAATTGCATATTTTTATTACATACTTAAAATCTACATATATTTTAGAGTTATACAAGAAACGTTTTTTGCAAAGGAGTTTTTTTCCTCCCAATAAAGAATTGAAAACAGGTTGTCGGAAAATTTAAATTGAAGAATAATCATGTTAAAGCAAAATTTTGAAAATTAACTTGGTCTTTGGTTAAATTTTATGAAATACAAAGGTAAAACGTATATACTATTGAAAATAATCAAAATACGTACAAAATATTTATTAGAAATGAAGTTTACTATGATAAACTTCGAAACAAAGCTCAAGGCAGATTCTTACCTTTGCAATCTTTGCACCAAAATAGCATTTCTTTGCGAATCTTTTTGACAGTTTCAGCTGCTTTTTAGCATCAAATAGTTCACTGTGTACGAGGTTGTTTCATGATGAAATTGGGGGTATATGGCCAGCAAAATGTTGAGCAGTTAGTCTCATGGGATTGAGAGTTCAACTACAGACATCTTTGAGCTTTGAAAAGAACACACAAAATGGTGCAAATCATGCTTGTATATTCGCAGAAATATAGACAGCTAATGCCATCATGTTAACCCAGATCTGAATAAACAATTAAACATTACAGAAAAGCTGAAATGAAACCACGAATAGGAAAAGAGCAGGCTACACAGTTAAATAGACAAAAAAAATACATGGTTTTGTTCTGTTTTGGGGACCGGCGTCAGAAATGTCTGAACATATGAATTTGTTTTTGTATGTATGTGCATATATGTATATACATTTCTATACTTATATATGTATACATTTATACTTATATACACTCATGTCCAAAATTATGTTTACATGCATAAATTCACGGATTTCTCAGAGACTATGACTTATAATTTAATGAATTTTCGTGGAATCATACATAACATGATGACACATAAATGCAAAAGAAAAAATTGAAGATCACCTCATATGATATAAAATTGTAGCATGAAACAATAAAAATCTTAATAAAGTGTGACAAGAGAGTTAAGAAAAAAAGGAGTGATTCAGAAAAAAGAATTAAGTCTTACGAATTTAATATGGAATTGATCTCCCCTGGACTTTTACACACACATAACACAACGTGTTTTAAGGCTGGAAATAACGTTGTTAAGCACAGTTTGGGGAATTAATCTCCACTCTTCTAGCAATGCCGTCTTCAGAGCATTTACATCTCTAGGAGGAGGATGTATACGTGCAATTGCTCTTCCAAGGTAGTCCCATAAGTTCTCTATCGGGTTAAGGTCAGGAGAGTTTGGTGGCTAAGGTACTCGCTTAATGTCTTCACTTTCAAGGAATTCATCAAAGAGGTTTGCTCGATGTGGACGGGCATTATCATCCATAAATAAAAAGTCAGGTCCATATGCACCCCGGAAAAGTCTTACATAAGGATCTAAGACCTCATCCCAATATATCTGGCCTGTCACAGATCCGCTGCTGAACACGTGTAGGGGCGTACGTCCATCGATCATTATTCCACCTCGTACCCATCACAAACCTCCACTACCGAACGGTCCGTTCCACAATGTTCGAGGGATCATTTCGTGTTCCTGACTCCCTCCAGATGTAAAACACGCTTAGAATCACCAGTTAAACTAAACCGCGACTCATCAGTAAAGAGAACATGGGACCATTGATGTTCAGTCCAGTTTTGATGTTCTTTACACCAATTAAAGCGATCCCTCTTTTACTGTAAAGACAGTAAAACACATACCCTTGGCTTTCTGGCATAAAGGCCTTTTTCATTAAGCCTTCTGTATATTGTTTGCCGTGATGCAACAGTTCCAGTGGCGGCTGCAAGCTCTGAACTTAACTGGCGAGCAGTAGCCTTTCTGTTACGATGGGTAGTTAATGCTAGATACCCGATCTTTAGAAGCCGTTGTCATTCGTTTCCAAACCTTGTCCAGGCCCTCCTTACAAAACCTTCCATCATTTTGAAACTGTTTTTCCATAGCTTAGAGACTGTCTGTCTTGAAATTTCAGACATGTGGCTGTTTCCATGATTGACTTGCCCTGCTTCTAAACGGCCGATAATTCGCCACTTTACAGATTCTTCCAATGATACTTCGAAGCCATAACAAACCGCTTTTGAGTCCCTACACACTGAAATCAAACGCTATGTTGCAGAAATTCACTCAAATATTCAGTTTGCGCAAAGCGCTTTATTCACCCTTGGATGACGTAACGCCTAGATTTGTATATCACAAACCGTTTGATTACTTTTGATTGGATAATGCTAATTAGGCTTGGTTTTCATACATTCCCCGCAAATACGGATCACATTGATTCGATATTTCATTGAATATCATCATTTTTGGGTATGTAAAGATAATTTTGGACATGAGTGTATTTATACATGCCTACATGAACACATACATGTATGCATACACTCATACATTTCTGAACCCGGTCCTGATAACGGAACAGTATAAATGCATCCCCACGGAAACTGCAGGTTATGCAAATTTTGCTTGTGGAAACTGCAGGATACGTAGCAAGAGCGTTAAAAGCCGAGAGTGAAGCTGCATTTTCAGATTGTAGTATTGTTCATTTGATGCATTACATTTTGCTAAAATGCTTATTTTTGCCAAGACCTCATAGGAAGAATTTTAATAGTTCTGATCTCAGTCTTAACCTTTTGACCTCTTAATTAAAAGTAAAATTATTAGTTTTAATCTCTTTTAGTTAAGAGAGATTGGGCTTTATCACTTAACCTGAATTGAATATAAAATAGTACTGTAACAATATGAGAGTTTACCTGGTTTTATATTTCTTTATCCATCTTTTCATTGGAATCATTTCATTACATTAATAAATATCCAGTAGTCCATTATTTTATTGCTTTTATGATTCTAGTGTTTCACACCCCCTCGTAAAATTTCATCAACATATTATTGCTGTGAGATTTATGATTTTTATGCTGATTCTAAATGAGAGCAGAGACATAGCCATACATTTTGGGCCTACACTTCGGTCAGGTTGTGCATAAGCATACCCACCAACCAACCAGATAACTAATTGAGTATAACTGTATGAAACTATGTCATGAAGTTGTTTTGTAGAAGTATATTCTATTAAAAAAATCTATCTTAAAGTTATGTATAATAAAAGAGATAGTTTATAATATCCATATTTTTTCAATCTCAGCTACATCTCACAATTGATTGCTTTCCTTTCCTGCTTCATTAATTTTATGTTTTAATTTTAAAATTTTATTTATTCTTCATATACTGCATTTGTCTTGGCCTTTTTTAATCACTGTTTTATGTTCTGTGTGCTATTAAGCATACTGTTTATATTGCAACTTATTTTTAAAATTTAAGCCCTGAAAAAATAAAAGCATTGAAAACAAATTGATGTAGACTATGATGATTATTAACAATATTATGATGAACAAAATATTTGTTTTTTAGAGTAATTATTGAGGTTGTTATATGAATTTTATTATTTTTATCAATGATTATTGAGAAAATAGGAAAGTTGTCATTTTCTAATCTTTTCTGAAAGTTTTCTATAAACATTTTTTATTTCCAGGTGAAAAAGTTGAAGATTTTTCTTTTGAAAACGTCTGGAGGCAAAGTTATTCAGATTCACATGATCTTATATGTGAAAACATCAGATTTGAGTCTTTCGATAATAATAAATTGGCAACATATGAGCAAGTTATACAGTAAGATTTTAGCCTTGCTCTCTCTTCTTATGTGAATTCCTCTTTTCAAATTAGGCATTTATAAGTAATTACAGTAGAAAGCCTGAGATCCAGACTCGTCGGGACTTAAGCGATTCCAGATTTGGGTTTTTTCCAGATATTTGATCATCTGTTTATATCTGTTAAGATGGATAAGAAATTATAAAATTAAAAATATGAAATAATGAAGCATTTATGATTTAAAGGGTATCAAAATTTACAGGGAAAAAAAAAAGCTTAATATTTATTTCTTTACATTATTAAACATTTCTTTCAATGTAAGCTGTTTAAGTTGCTTTGTTTTCTATGCTAATACTTTCTCTTTAATTCTGTAGACAGACATAATTTCTTGTCCAGTCATAAAGTTCCATTGTTCAAGTCCTGTAATTGCCATGTCAAGAAATTCTAATAACTTAGAAATCAAATTTTTACATTTTCAATCACTTTTCTGTCATTTTCTTCACTATTGGTAGCGGTATTTTCTGGATCTTGAACCATACTACAGATTTTGCTGTCTGTTAATTGACTGGTGATTATCATCGCAATGAAAAACTTCTGTTATATCATCTTCATTTATTACTGCTTCTCCACATTTCTTTACAAAATCCATTAATTGGAAAGTTTTATCTTTGGTTTGCAATCTCTGAAAACTTCACGGCTATCATATTCATCATCCTCACCATGAATTATGGTAGCTGGCCATAAATTATGCCAAGTATCACTTTGTCATGATCGTAACTTCTAGTATAACAAATAATTTTTCCATTATTCATTGCAAGTGGGATATCGGATTGCACAAAAAATTCAAAAAGTTCCTGTTTCTGTTTTCTTACGTCATGTACATTTCCTTATGTCATATTATTTTCTCATCAAGACTTTCCAATGCCATATTCCTGCCATAATTTTGAGAGGGATATTGACCTTTATCCATTTTTTGTAGCAGTTCCACGTTTTGTTTAATGCACATCAAAGCATTTGCTCTGTATGTCCTGTTAGAATAGCTCCAGAATTAAATACTCTTCGACATAAGAAGTTCTAACTTTAGTTTTCATAAAATTGCTGTAATTGCTGCATAAAATTGCTGTAGCTATATTAACTGAAATTTCCTAGAATCAGTTAAGTGTAATTTTAGCCTAGCTTAACAGCATCCACCATACATTATTGGCTTTGTATCATGAAATTGTCGATGAAAGAAGAGTTGTTCTGCTAAGCATTGTTTTTCTTCTATCATGCACTGAGGCAATTAAGCCTAAAATTGTATTATTTTAGTTATTTATTATATTAATGTCTATTTCTTGCACATGCTTAAGGCTGAGTTCTGAATAAATAAATTTCCTCATATATTTAAGCTTACTGAATGCTGGCGCTAGATATTTTGGCTCCTGATGCTGTCTCTGCGAGTCCTAAATTCTCCTACCAAAAGCCTCCATAAGTTCTAAATTTTTGCCAACATTTAATTTTGGGTTCCAGTGCTTTCTCTAAATTCTAAAAATTTTATGATCTCTTAATTTTGTTACTTGCTGCTTCTCTTAATTCCAAAAATTTTGTGTTCCTTAACTTCTGCCATCCGGTGAGGCCAAACGAGCTCTGGCTTGAGTTCTGAGTTTATGTGAATAGGAAAATCAGTTATTCATAATTCAAATAGCACTAAGTGTCATCTTTTGGCCTATGAGTATCATTAACAAAATCTATTTTTAGCATATCTAAAGAAATTTTTGTTAAATTTTTCCTTGTCAACATTTAGTGCATTTAACTTAAACTTTAATCATTTCCAAGCATAATGTCAGTGTAAAAGTTTTCTATACTCTTTGTTATTCAATTACTAATGAAAAAAAAAATGTTTAGGCATCGCTGCATGAGTCATTACTCAAGTTGTCATGTGTTGATAAACATGTAGTTATGAAACCAAAATATAATAAATAATTGTTCGCAATGATGGCCTCAGGGATATACGATATTGATAGGTATAAAATCAATGATGTTTCTATGTAGAATGTTATGGTTTGAGATGTATGCCAAGCAGGCTAAATTATTGATCACACAAATGTATGCTAAAATGATCGTTTCTTCAATAACATTGTATTTTTATTCGCTGCCGAAGTGAAATTAAGAATCAAGACTCTCCTGATGATTTATTATGGAGTGAAAAAAAATCAAATGCGTATGCGTAAAACATTAAAAAAATTTCCTAAAAAAAAAGACTGTTGGTGACTTTGAGGACCGTATTTTAGATCATTCCAGATATTGGACGTCCGGATCTCTGATTTGTACTGTATTAATAGGGATTTCGGTTGTTGCTATCGTTTCTTGTTCAGTTTTCGCACTATTATTAGGTTGACGCATTTGAAATGTTCAATAAATGACCAATCCTATATGCAAGATCTGAACAAAAAAAATGTAATATAACTAACAAAAACAGAAAATCGTAGACAAAATTGTCACAGTCAGCATATTTCTATTTTTGCCAGTGTTGTCTAAACTATGAAACTTGTGTCTAAGAGATGCTGATGCCTGTTACCTCAAGAAATTTTTCGATTGCCTGATAAACATTATTGGGATTTTGAAGCTTCCTACTGGAAAGAAAATTATTTTGCTAAAGAAAAAGGTGTTGATCTCTTAGGCATAGATTTTGTGAATATGGTTGGTAAGCAAGGGTTATGTGGCCTAATGTGATATTAGCTAGATATCTTATGATATATGGAAATGAGCATCATGTTGCTCTTGATTAGCTGCATCAGATAAATTTGTTTCATTATATTGTATATGTGAGAAAGACATGGTAAATGATAGCTACACACTACCACACAAGATAATTCCTCTCCCTATTCTTCCTCAGCATGAGGGAATTAAACTTCCTAGCTAACATGCCTTGTTCATGCGATTAAGACTGTAGAATACCAACCTATCTGACTTCATCTTGTATCTGACCATGTGCCAAAGTGCAGTGCAATTAGTATCAATAATAGATATTAAATTTCTCAACTATCCTAAGGGCACTTTGTTGGGGATTATCTTCTACAGTTTGCCTTATAAGAGTATTTGCAAAAGATTATGGTCAATGTCCCATATGGTTCATTTCCCAGTAATGTTGCCTGCACAAAACATTTCAAACCAGCTGCTGATGGTGCATTTATGAAGCATTTATCAAATTGTGATGATTAATATTATCCATTTGAAAATGCTGCTTAGTTTGAATTCAAAGAAAAATTACCTGCAGTGTCATAAAATCCATAATTTACTTTGACAGCTCAATATAAACACAATACTGTAATGCCTAGCCAATTGAACAGCACAGTTTATCAATCACAAGTTACCAAGTATATGATATTCATGCAATATTAGTGGCTGCATACTAGTAATTCAGTGGTTATTTCCAGCATTACTGGTAGCAACTGTGCAGTAAAGTCACTAAACTTATAATTTAACTTGGGTATGATTTCAGGTGAATGGGTTGGCTGTATGGGTGTTTTTGCGAATTTCCACATTTTTTCACAAAGGCATCCTTTCTCTTAAGCAGATAGCTCTGATGTGCTTTACCGTAATCAAAGAAACAAAACCAGACTAATCCAGCATTGCTTAAAATTGACCATTTCAAATGCACTATAACTCTTTATACAAATATTTGTCAATATTAAAAGTTTTATGATGTTTAAATTCTTATTTATTTATCTTACAGAAATCAGTGTCCCTTAGGCAACGACTGGGCTCAAAACTTTAAAGCTCAGAGTTGTAGTGAAATTAATGAAATAACAACTGGTTTATGTGATTATGTCGCAGATCCCAAAATTTCAGTATCTAAGGTAGGTTTTTTTTTATATTATTTTTTATTTTCTGTGTACTTACTTCTCTTCTTCCTTTCATTAAACATGATTCAGATACATTTTAAAAGTGTTGGAAAGTTTTAAATTAATTGATGCTGTTTATCAAAAATGCTTAAAAATTGTTAGCTATGTAAATGATTATTTCATTGAAATTTTTTTTTATAGTTTCATATGAAATTCAACCGAAGTCTTTCAAGGTTATAGTAGAACATCATTATGTGTTGTTAGCCAGGTTGAAAAATTTATGATGAAGAAATAAAACTGCACAGAATTAAAGGATATTGACAGATACTGGATGCTGCAGCAAAAAAATAATAGAAAATTAAAAAGTAATAGAAAAATGGTCTCGCATGTTTTCCAAGAAATCTTTCTTTTTCGCAAGAAATAATCTAAAATTCGGGTTCACTACTTCATCAGTTGAAGCTGTTTTTTTCATATTATGACATTTCGTATGGCAGTGTTTTCAAATTATGAAATTTTCAGCCATTCTTAATGCATAATGCTTAATGTGTGCATTCTTGGAAGTACAGGTAACCTTCGTATAACACGGTAGATAGGTTCCTAGAAAATGCCGTGTTGTGTGAAACCGTGTTTTATGAGACCTGGAGCCAGTATGAAAAGGGGGGGTTATGTTCTGAAAACTTATTAAAAACATTTTTTTAATTCTACATAACCAACTTAATTTTTATTAAACATATATATGTATGTACAACACAAAACAAAAAACATTACATATTTTAAATTAACGCAACTGTAGTTTAACAAATTTTTTCGCTGTCAGTATAATCAACTGAGAACGTTTTTTTCACTGGAATGAAATCGTTTTAACTTTCAGAATTTCTTTTCTTCATTTAAAGTTCTGGCAATTTATTCCCTCTTTAAAAAGTCTGTAATTTTACTTTGCTTATGAGTTCTTACCAGGTCAATGTATGTAAATTTCTCGATATGGAGCTAGACTAAGACACAATAACACGCCGAATAAGTACTAATTCAGAAGTCAAACAACAAAAATCAGCGTAATATTTTCAAAATTTTTACAGGACTAGTTTCGATGGTTTTACCGAACCACCATCCTCAGCTGCAAAACTGCAAATAAACAAGATGGGAAATAATGATTAGATAAGAAATCTTGGACAAGAATAAGCAAGTGGTGCCATCTGTTGGTGAAACCAGAACTAAAACATAATTTCTTTAAAGGCTGAAGGCAAAGATGGATTGGAATTAGGATCGTTAACTAGAACAGAAAAATTTTTTTGAATGTGAAATGCCTCTAGAAAATCCAGTTCTCCAATGGAAGATGTTTTCTGAATAATTTTGGCAGCAGAAAAAATTGACCAACAATGTTTAGCAACAGAAGAGTTCTGTGTTTCCTTTTTTCTAACATGTGCCTCATGTTCCTTGACGCAAAATTTTAAGGCTCTCTTACTTTGGCCAATGTAAATCAAACCACACTGGCAAGGAATCCTATAAATACCCCAAAGAATTCATATCCGGAATGGGGTCCTTGAGTATGGAACTCGGAATTTTATTGATGGGAGAATAAACAACCCGAAAGTTCAATTTCTGCAAAATATGTGCAACTTTATAGCTAATTGACGGAAAGAAGGGAATGACAACAGAATTTTTATAATCTCCTAAAACAAGATAGTGTTTTTTAGTGTGTTGAGATGAGAATTTTTTAACTGCTTGATTAATAATGTTGGGTGAAAAGCCCCTGTCAATAGCTATTGCTTTTAAAATGTTCTTCATCAAGGGCTAGTTTGGAGGAGCAAACTTGAAGAGCACGGAAAACGTAGGAATAAAATGAAGCTAACTTTTGTTTAGTCGTATGACATTATTTAAAGTGTGGTGGAAGGCAAACCGATGAAGGTTTACGGTAAACCGTAGTACTGAAGTTGGATGTATTACGTGTGACCAGAATGTCGAGAAACGGAAGAAAATTGCAAGTCTCAAGTATCTTGTTTATTTGCGGTTTTGCAGCTGAGGATGGTGGTTCGGTAAAACTATCAAAACTAGTCGTGTAAAAATTTTGAAAATATTACGCTGATTTTTGTTGTTTGACTTCTGAATTAGTATGGAGCTAGACTGTTTTGCAACTCCCATTTGAATTTTCGGCTTATTTCAGCGTAAGGGTCTGCAGTCAAGAAAAAGATTTGAAGTTTTTAACTAAGGTCTTCTTTTAATTTTTTTAATGTTAAATTATTAACTGCACTATCTTCATCAGTACTAGTGTCCTCAGAATCGATTTGATTTACAGCTTTGGATGCCATTTTCGTCAAATCTGTTTTGTCAATTTCTCCTTCCGCTAATAATTCTTAAACGTCCTCAACAGCCATCCCAACAATGTCCTCGGCAAAACCTTCATCTCCGAATGATTAGCAAGTTCTATTATTAGAACTTGCTAAATCTACCACCAATTTCACTTTCTGACGATTACCGCACATTTTCTATTTCAATTGAAGAGAGCCATATCTTCTTCCTAACATGCATTTAATGTTGATGCTTTTCGTTGTTTCAAAGACAAGGATACCATATTGATACAGTGCTGTCCTGTATGTCTTCCAATCTTCCATCAGGGTTCGTACGGTCCTTAAGAGTTCTTAAAAGTCCTTAAGTTTTTTGGAATCGATTTTTTGGTCCTTAAAAGTCCTTAATTTCAGCAAAAATCATCAGAAGGTCCTTAATCTTAATCATCAGAAATTTCTGTCTGTTTTTACGACTGCCATTTTGAGTGTGAATTAACATTTTAGAGTAATATTTTTGGCGATTTGCTGACAAATATGGTTATCTTTTAAATGGGTTCATGGATTATAATTTGTTCCTATTTCTAATATTAAATGGTGTGATACTCGAGTTTCTGAGCAGGAAGTGAAACATGAGCATTTCAAAATTATTTCATTTTTTATAATGAAGAGCTCTTAAAAAACTTTTCCCTTTTTGGGATGTTAATTCTTTTATTAAACCCTTCTAAATTTTTGGCGATTTTAAGATCTGTTTTTATAGAAAATTTTTAATTCCGAGATCTAGGATATTTTCAACAGTTTTTTCTTAGAACATTGTAATTTCAGCTATTTATTATATGTGGAAAATAAGCAAGGTATAATTCTATAAAGCACCATTTATGAAAAAGTTCTTAGCAAAAGCAAACTAGCTATGTAATTAATTAAAAATGTAGCTTTAATATTTTCATGGTAAGAGCTTTTCCCGTGTAATTGTCAGAGAATATTCAGAATTCTCAAAATATACATCAGTTTTCTCCAGAGCTTAAATTGTGCCGGAGCAGGGCTGGGGCGCAATTTAAGCTCTGGAAGAACAATGAAAACATTATAGTTGAATGTTTTACTTCTGATACTAGAATCTTTTCTTAACATTTTAATCTTCCCTTTATTTTCTCTACTTTTCACTAGACACAAACATAGAGAAATATCAAAAATGCTTCTAATCTTATCATATGAACAGGCATTATACAAAGGAATTCTTTTATTAATAAAGATATTGAGAATTGGAAATTTAAAAGATTCATCTAATATTTCTTAATGCATCACACACAGGGCTGGCACTAGGCATTTTCCCATCTGATGCAGTCTCTGTGGGTCGTAAATTCTGCTGCCTGGTGCCTTTCTAAATTCTGCTTCCAATGCCTGTTCTAAGTTATAAAAGTTTTGCCATTTCTGGACTTTACCGCTCAGTGTGTCACTAAATTCTAAAAATGATGCCACATCTCTAACCGAAGTTACCATATATATTTCATATTTCTTCTGAATGTTCATATTACTAAAGAAATAAAATTAGCAGCTTTTTCTATGCATTCTAAATGCATTTAGTTTATTTAGAATATCAGAAATCTTTAATTGAATCCAAAAATTCTAAAATGAAGAGAAAACGTGGAAGAAGAAACTGAATATCTAACAAAAAACAAATTTACTCTTCAAAGATATGTACAGTTATTATTATGTAAATTACCCAATTGTTTACAATTTCAGCCCTTACTATAATTTCTCTTTTCTATTTTCTCACCAGAATGCAAATCCCGTAGACAGTTTTTAAACCGAGATTTTTGGAGTGTAAGACAAGAGTGTGTTTCTGACCTCCACTTGCTCACTGCATTCGTTCCTGCCCGCTCTGATAATTTATAATTGTTAGTCTTGGCTTACCGTTGGCGACATTTGAGTTTGTTATGATGATAGAGAGTTATTGAGCCAGCCTTAAAATCAAATTAAATTGTTTAGTCTTTGACCACTAATTCATATTTTTAGTTTGAATTTGACTCTTCTTGTTTCATTACATCACTACGAGCTGTAATTGATTTTGTTAGCATAAGAACATGCCTTTATTTTTGAAGTTCTTTTTAAATAAGAATCTTATTTAAACCTTTGTCGGGACATTGTAGTTACTTTCAGGCATAGCGATAATTTGCTTCATATCTGTTGATGTGTTTTGGACTATTTAACTTTTACCGGATCAAATAAACCTTCATAGGTACATGATGGACAGGTTGACAGGTTAGGAGATAAAACACGCAGAAATTAGTGATAGCATTCTTTTTTGTATTGAGACAAATTCCTAATTGTTAAAAAAGGTGCTTACAGAGAAGGAAATCGATATAAATTAACCAAAAGTCTGGGAAGGCTTCAGATTAAAAAGATGCATAACTATTTTGTTGAGTATTGCTACTACAAAACATAAATGTTTTACGTGAAATCCGAATATCATTTAAGAATCAATGTCATAAATTACATGTATTTTAAATAGTAAAATTTTATTACATTGGGATTTTAATAGAGCTAAAAAAATAAAATTGAATAGTGACTATGCAAATCCATAATGACTAACGTTATGTTGTACCTAATTTAATTACTTATAACTGCTTACTGCTTGCCCTTAAAATGTATCTCTGCATATTAAAGTGAGTTATTGCCTTTCATCAACCCTTACCGTAGTCACAAGATAAAACACAAAAATGTAAAACTTATTCTTCGCATCTAGTGAGACTTAAAATAATGTAAAACAACTTATCACCTCTGGTGCTTTAGTGGCTTATTAGAATCTTAAAGTATATTAACTGAGTCACAACCTCTGCAAGTAAGCAGTAGCAGTGACAACAGCCAGTCTTTTGTTGTTCATCATCCTGATTATGATTTGACCTCACATTTTAACCTATGCCGCTTGACATAAAATCTGCTTACTATTTACTAAAGTTTTAGACTGAGCAAGTATGTGACAAAATAAGGTATAAAATAAAATCAACATAAAACTAACTGTTAGTAAAACTTAAATAAAATGTCACTTATCTCCTTTCAAATATGTTCAGTTCTTATAAGTGTAAAATATATAATGCTCCTTGATAAATTTCATATATTTTATCTCAGACTTATAATAATTATGTTAATTAAGTCATGTTTAATAATAATGCATCCTACTTACGGATCTATTTTATTTTTAGGATGGTATTACAAAAGTGAAGTTCAGGCATAGATAATATTTTGAATTGAATTTATTCAGTTCCCATTCGCTCATAGGTCCTTAATTTTTTTTTTTTTATTAGTGGTCATTAAAAGTCCTTAAAAGTACTTAATTTCCGTGCCCAGAAATGTGTACGAACCCTGTTCCATTACATTGATTGATTTTGAATCGGTTACGTCTAAAATCCACTCTAATGCTCTTCTTATGTAATATGTTTTAAAGATATAAATAATACCTTGATCCGATGGTTGGAGTAATAAAGTAGGTGGTAGGAACATTATTTTGAAATTGGGATGATTCAAATCTTGTGGGTGACATGGAGCATTATCTAATAGTAATAGCGCCTTGAAGCTCACATTTTTCGCCTTAAATAACATTCAGCATCTGGCACAAAATAATTGCTGTTGATGAAATATTTCACCGATGAGATTTTGTTTGACGAGGAAAAATTCAACAAAAATTTCTTTTTGTATGCTAAGAATAGATTTTGTTAATGAAACTCATAGGCCAAAAGATTACATTTAGTGCTATTTTAATTAAGAATAACTGATATGTTATTCACCATAAACTCAGAAGCGGCGGTAGAATTTAAGGAAGACAAACTTTTTGAAATTTGGGGAAGCACCGAGTAGCAAAATTAAGGGATGAGAAGTTTTTTATAATGCAAAATCGGAAAACATGCACAACCTCTAGCATTTAAAGGAGTAACGATAGTAGCATGTATTGATTGTAGACAACTGTTTGGCTCATACTTAAAGTTTTAGTGAAAGATAGCGTATACGTATTATTCTTCTCTCCAAATTCTATGTCTGGCATTCACCCTACGGATATCGGAATAGTGCATGCACTGAAGTGCAAATATAAAGCACTGTTTTTTAAATGCATGTTAAATTTCTTGAACAATGGCAAGACTATTCAAGAGTGGTTTTTTTTTTTTTTTTTTTTTTTTTTAATATTTTAGCATAAAATCTATGTGGAGTATCACAAGATCGTGGAAGGATGTGTCTCCAGATATGTTAAAAAATGCTTGGCATAATTTATGGCCAGCTACCATATTTCACAGTGAGGACAATGAAGACGATAGCCTCGAATTTGAAGGTTTTCGGATATCGCAAGCTTAAGGTGAAATTTTCCAGTTAATGGATTTTTTAAAGAAATGTGGAGAAGCGGTAATGAATGAAGATGACGTAACAGAAGTTTTTCATTGCAATGACAATGCCCCAATCATCAATCAATTAATGGATGGCGAAATCTGTAGTATGGTTCTAGATCCAGAAAATACTGCTTTCGATAGTGAAGAAATTGGCAGAGATGTTATTGAAAACGATAAAGTTTCGATTGACAAGTTAGTCGTTATGCTCGACACAGCAATTGCAGGACTTGAACAGTGGAAAACTTTTAACTGGTACTATAATAACATTTGCATGAATTTTGATATAATAACATCTTTATGACCAAACCTCTCTTCTAAACTTTTAATACATATATCATAATTTTCTTCAGATTAAGCGTAACCAGATACACAATTATATGCAGAACCAGATACAGTCAAAAGTCGTTAATTCGGACACCCATAATCCGGAATGATCTATAATCCGGACCTCGAAGCTAAAAACTTTCTGCGCATGTGCCGCGTTGACACATGCGCAATGGCATTTATGCGTGCGCGTAAGACCTTTTACCACTGTGCATATGCGTGTGCGCAAGCGCAGAATACGTTTTCGCATGCGCGTTTTATGTATAACAGACGGTATAATCTAAAATTATCTAATTATCTATTTCAGGTAATGTTGATGATTGCGCTGTTCCTTAATCTTCGAATTGGATCCGGCTTATTATTTTTTGCAGACTGTAAGAGCAATTTTATAAAAGTAAACTTGAACTTTCGATTATGTCAAATAGAATTTCCTATTCTGGAGCTCCCAAAGGATCGTACAAAACGAAAGTATGTTTCGATGTCCATCAAACAAAAAGTGGAATTGCTGCAAAAAATGGATAAAGACATGAAGAATGCGACAGAGAGGTTAGTGAAAACGAAAAAATTTCAATTGACAAGTTAGTCGGTATTCTCGGCACAACAATTAACGGGACTTGAACCGCGGAACTTTGTAACTGAACAAGAAATTATGTCTGTTTATAGAATTAAAGAGAAAGTATTAGCACAGAAAACGAACCAACATAAACAACTTACGTTGAAAGAAATTTTTAATAAAGTAAACAAATAAATATTAAGCTTTTTTTCTGTAAATTTTGATTCCCTTTATATCATAATTGCTCTTTATTTCATAAATTACGATTTCATATTTGTAATTGTATAATTTCTGCATGTCATCTTAGCAGATTTATATTCATGATCTAATATCTGGAAAAATCCCAAATCCGGACTTTGTACTGTAATGTAAATGAAGAGGGGAATAAACTTGTTTCATGTCACAATATTTGATATTGAGATCTTTTATTTTGTTTTCAATTCAGTAATGAGTAATATTGTATACTTATTAATGGGATTCTTGTTTCAGGTTTATTTTATTATTCAGAAGTATTGAAATTCAAACAAAGTATGTGTGAATCAAAACAGAAATTACTTGCTGTTTCACCAGTACATTATAATAACTTGGGTATTCCATGAACATGTGAATTTCATATATATTTTAAGGTTCAAAGTATGTTACCTGATTAAATTAATAAATATTTGCTTTTATTTTGTATGGGTCATCAGAATAACAATTAGCTTTATTTTATAAGATCGGATTATTACTTTTAAAAGATATTTTGAGTTTTGCTTTCTATTTATGAATCATATTTCATAGAAAAATATTTTATGTACACAGTATTGCCATTACTTCTGTCAGTACTTTCAATGCATGTAACTACCAAATAAAACTATGCATACCCATTAATATAAATTCTGAAAAAACACAAAAATGCTACAGAGTGAACATACTAGTATTTGAAACGATCACCATGTGTGGCAATACCATGGTGAAGACATTGATGCCACTCATGAATAGCTGCACAAATCATGTCTCGCCTGGTTTTTGCTTTGTGTGGAGGAGTGCTGTCCTGCTGAAAAATCCATGATTTCCATTCAAACAGCTTCAAATTGATAAATGGTATTGTCTTTTCCAACATTGTCTGATAGGCAGGTGCAGAAGTCTTTACTTTGCAAAATGCACTTCTGATGCTCCCCACAAGAAAACTGTCTGCCATACTATGTCGAAATTGAAAGGGTGTCCTCCCTGCACATGTAGAACTTTCTCTTTTGCTTCCTGGGAGTACTGTGTATACACATGATCTTTTTGCTTGTTAAATGACTTCCACAATGAATATTCCATCATCTGTGAATAGGATGTCGCAATATTACCTCTCTTTATATGTCGCTAATAAAGCCTAGCATGTATCTCAGTATATCTCCTTTATTTTTCAGTTAGTAAATGCCATATTTACCTTTTGTATGCACCAACATGTAAAAACCATCCTTCGAAATATGGGACATAGTCTGTGGAGATACATCTATTTCTCAAGACAAAATTGTTTGTTTATGCAAAGGATTGCATTGAATTCTTGCACAAATAGCATTCACAGCTTTTTTTTTTTCTACTTACGCACTTAGGATGACCTGAACTGACATGATCACTTCTACAGCGATTTGTTTAAATCATGTTATTGTCTGAAACACAAATTGTTCATTGATACTGTGAGGTTTCAGCTTAGAAATAAATTTCTTAGCTCGCTTTCTGCAGCAAAATAATTCCAATACAGCAATATGATTTCTGTATGCTCCCCACTCTATCTTTCACTGCTGCCTGCTATTGGCATGCTTTATCATTCGTAATTACCATAATGCAACACTTTTAGATTTTACTGAAAGAACATATGGCAGCACTGTGTATATTTTTATTGTGTTCTTATTGATCAATGGAATTCATGTCTTTATTCTAGTCAGCTGAAGATTTGGAAGTTGTTTGGGAAGGAAGTCAACATGCTAATAAGGATTTTAAAACTGTCTCTCGAACTGAAGATGAAAAGAATGAAGCACAAAATGATGAAATTCTTTTTAATGATCTTCAACGAGAATGGGAAATTTTTGTAAAAATGGCTGCTAAGTGAGTGATATTTGTTTTGTTATATATGTAAATGAATAAATACAAAGTAAAAAAAAAAACACTTTTCAAAATCTAATCCAGTTGCCTGCTGATAGCAGCAACAAGTGGTTGTAATAATACAAAATAAATTTTAAAAAAGCATTTAAAATGTATCCCATATTCAGTTTAGAATAAACCACGTGCCAAAACAAAACCAAAAAAGCGGGGAAGCACAGTGGCAAACTGCAAGAAATAGGGGCAGATACACCAAAACAGAAAACAAAATTTACATTCCTCATCATCGGGGGGGGGATGCATTGAAAGAAGTAAATGAATGAAAATTATTATTATTATAAATATTGTTTTCACTACCAAAAACTTCTGTTTTGGGGGATAAAGCTATATCTAAGCCATTATAGCAGTATTGTTTGCATGTTCTTAACACATTTGGATTAGGCATTCTTTTCAAAATTGTAGCATTTATTTTAATTTGATTAAATGATTGTCTTACAGCTTCCTGTCTCTTTTATTAACAAAATGGGCATACTTCAGCTTTCAAGTCTCAAGAAAGCCTGCTTGAGTGAGTTCTAGATTCTGTAACATTTAACGTCTGATTGTTTTCTGCTTTTATTCTCTTTTAGGTTACCTTTAATTTATGATATTTTTTCTAAATTTCTGTTTGGCATTTTCAAAAATTACTAGAAACAGCCCTTACTACATTACAAATTTAGTTTTTTAATTTATTTATTCATCACAAATTTTTTACTTAAATTCACAATGCATTAAATTTTAAATATATATATATATATATTTATTTTGTTGTTGAACATAACTTATTCCATATGTTGAATCAAACACTAGAACTTTTTCATTGAACTGAAGTGAATTTATACTTCACTTGAACTCAAATTAGTGATAATTTTATCATGATTATAGAGGTAGTTTGATGTTTTTCCCTTTTTCAAATAGTCTGTTTTTCTTTTAAAATTCTATGTTACAATATAGGTTTAAAAAATTTGGTTTCATTCCGTTAGAGGAGGGGTAGTCTGAAAACATACTTTTTTATTTGGTCACCAGTTGTTACCAAGTATAAAATTATAAAATAATAATAGTATTTTTGTAAGTGATTTTGTAAGTCCCTTTTATTAACAAAATGGGCATACTCATAAAGTCTCAAGAGAGCCTGCTTGAGTGAGTTCTAGATTCTGTAACATTTGATGTCTGATTGTTTTCTGCTTTTATTCTCTTTTAGGTTACCTTTAATTTATGATATTTTTTCTAAATTTCTTTTTAGCATTTTTAAAGTTTACTAGAAACAGCCCTTACTACATTACAATTTTAGTTTTTTAATTTATTTATTCATTACAAATTTTTACTTAAATACAAATTTTTACTTAATAAAAAATTATTGTTTTGGTGTTGAACACAACTTATTCCATTTGTTGAATCAAACGCTAGAAATTTTTCATTGAACTGAAGTGAATTTATCCTTCACTTGAACTCAAATTAGTGATAATTTTATCATGATTATAGAGGTAGTTTGATGTTTTTTACTTTTTCAAATAGTCTGTTTTTCTTTTACAATTCTATGTTACAATATAGGTTTAAAAAATTTGGTTTCATTCCATTAGGGGGTGTGTTAAAGACATACTTTTTTTTATTTGGCCACCAATTGTTACCAAGTGTAAAATTATATAATAATAATAGTATTTTTGTAAGTAATAAGTTTTTATGTAATAAGTATTTTTTATTTTATAATTCTTAAAGTAAATTTTTCTTTTTAATTTTTTAATCTAGAGTATTCTTCACATCAATAAAAAATAACGAAATAAAACAAAGTTTAATCTAAACAGGTGGCATAAAATTACAAATATTATTCAATATTGTAGAAAAAATTTCAGTTTTTGAATATAATCGACACCACATAAATTCTATCAAATATGACTCTAATGGTGGCAAGCAGTGTCCTGCTGAAATTTCTCCATTTAGCACTGCGCCACAATCACCATAGCAGTCTGAAAATATCATGCTGCTATCTGCGATGTTTTTCTGGATGTCAGTCATCAATGTTGTAATGCAGGGATTGGGAACAGCAACCAGAAAACATTACTTGCTTCTGGCTAAACCCCAAAATACTCATTGTTCTAGTGTTGTTTTTCTTTTTGTGAAAGGACTTCTGTCTATTTCTGCGCTTTTGTTGGCTTCACCAATTTTATTTCTTTTACGAGACATCAAACTATTTGCACATATCTTCCTCAAGTATTTATTCCAGTTTACTGTGATTGATTTCTAACTGAAGTTCGCAAATTTCATTTGATGTCGATTCCTGACACCACAGATAGGTAAAACGAATGTCACTGAGGAAAGAAAGACTCAAGCCTTCAAACCATGTTTTGATTCTCAATCCTTTTTTTTTTTCACAGCAAGAACATATGTAACAATGCCATATAGGAGCTTTGTTCGAGTCAAAAATTAACTTCGTTAGATGATTTTGAGAATAAAGTCAATTGCTGTGAATTATTCCTTTGTCCTGAAGAAATCTTTATGGCAGCCTCTTCGTCATTAGGTAATTACCAAACTGTTTAGTTCATCATACAAAAAAAAAAAAAAAAAAAAAAAGCGAAATTCTTCCAAAACATAAAAAAAAAAGTGATGGTATTTCAAATGAAAACTGGAAATTTCAGGCCATAATATCTGGCACGTTAAAACATTGTTTTCTTCTAATTTTTTTCTTCATTTTTAACTGATGCCGATCTAACTGAATAATACCGAAATTTTTATTATGTAACTTTTAAAGTATTTTACACCAATAGACATCTAAATAACTTATACTTAGAATACTTCTTCAAATTTATTCCAATAATTAATCACATTAATTTTTGTTCCTTGAAGATGATATAATAAAAAAAAAAACTTATATAAACATAAAGTGTAGGTGAGCTATCATGAAAGGCTCCAAGTATCCAGAGGTGTAGTTACAAGATGCTGTTTGTGGTCGGTGACTTGTCAAGGATTAAGTGAAGTTCACACACAACATTTATTTCAATGATTAAACACTGTACAGGCAAAAGTCTTTAATTTGGACGTCTATAATCCGGACCTCAAAGCTACAAACTTTCTGTGCATGCGTAAACGCATTATCCGTTTACACATGCGCATTTAATGTATAAGGGACAGTATAAGCTGAGCTAAAAATTATGTAATTAACTATTTCAGTTAATGTTGCAGATTGTGTTGTTCCTTAATCTTTGAATTGGATCCGGCTTATTATTTTTTGCAGACTGTTATAGCAATTTTATAAAAGTAAGCTTGAACTTTCGATTATGTCAAAAAGAATTTCCGATTCTGGAGCTGCCAAAGGATCTACAAAGCGAAAGCATGTTTCGATGTTCATCAAACAAAAAGTGGAATTGCTGCAAAAAATGAATAAAGGCATGTCCTTTGTTTCTCAATCTGATGATCTATAATCCGAAAAAACCGATAATCTGGAATCGCCAAAGTCTCGATGAGTCCGGATTAAAGACTTTTGACTGTATAGTATATTATGTACATATTCAGATAGTGGAGCTAAAAATAACATACCCTTTTGACGCTAAAAATGACATACGTTCGCTGCCGCTGATTTGCAAGATCTAACTCTTTCTTGTGGTGCGTTAGTGCCACCTATAGTAATACTTCATAACATACAAGCTTCAAATTTAGAATTATTTTAATGTAGTATTCAATATTAACAAGATTTTCAACAATCTTATGACAAGTTAAAGTTAAAATATGAATTTCAAAACCTCTATAAGCTGAAAGAGAAAATTATTAAGATACTTACTATATTTGGACACAAACATTACTACAAAACTAAAATACAAATGCAATTAATTATATGTGAAAATAAGAATAAAAATTTTAGTCATTAAATTTCACGATGGCAAAATGTTAATGGTGAGAGTTTGTTGATAGGATGTTTAACTACACCATTGATAGTTTTTAAGTCCACTACTCACACTTTTCCATCAGATCCTGGGTAAATATTAATTACTCTACCTAAATGCCACCTTAAATTTGGTAAGTTATCAGCTTTTACCAGCACCAAGTCATTGGTATTTAAATTTGGTTTGTTCTTTAGCCATTTTGCTCGTCCTTGCAATTGGGAGAGATAATCGGATGACCACCGTTTCCAAAAGTGCTGAAAAAGTTGCTGAATCTGTTTCCAAAGTTCAACAGGCGTTACCTTATCATCAATCAAATTTGGTTCAGGAATGGTTGTTAGCGCGGTTCCAATAAGGAAGTGACCAGGTGTTAAAGCGCTTAAGTCATTAGGATCATTGGAAATCGTCACTATAGGTATGGAATTTAGGCAAGCTTCAATTTGAGTTATCAAGGTAAGAAATTCTTCAGATGTGAGCAGTTGAGCTCCTATTGTACGCTTTAAGTGATTTTTCATTTGCTTAATGCCATTTTACCAAGACCCCCGAAATGTGGGGCGGAGGGAGCATTGAATTTCCAAACAATGTTTTCGTGTGTTAACTGATTTTGGAACTTTTCTGATAATAAAATGGATGCCATAATTCTTTTTAATTCACGATTTGCACCAACAAAGTTAATTCCTTGATCAGAAAACATATTTTGCAGTTTGCCCGACAGGCGACAAACCTTCTTAATGCTGCCAAAAAGGCTTCTAAAGAGAGATCACTCACAACATCCAAGTGTACTGCTTTTGTTGTAAAACATATGAACAGGCATACATAGCACTTGATGGGCTTTACTCCTCTCCCCTTACAGGGTTTCACAAGGAAGGGCCCTGCATAATCAAGGCCTACTCTAGAAAAAACTCTGCTTGGCACAACTCAAGATGCCGGAAGATCGGTCATTATTTGTGATGCAGTATTTGTACAATTTCTAAAGCATTTCATGCAATTTCTAATAACTTTCCGTACTTCATCTCTACAGTTAATTATCCAATATTTCTGTTGGATAGCCAAAATTGTAAGTGAAGTTCCCCCATGAAGATGAGTTTCATGAGAATACTTAGTTAATAATTTTGTCATGTGATGCTTCTTAGGAAGAATTGCCTGGTGCTTTTGATTTTCAGGTATATTTGCATTCCTTAGCCTTCTTCCAACGTGAAGAATATTTATGTTATCCAAGAAGATAATTCTGCTGTTAGAGCTGATGTTTTTCCCTGCTCTTAATGCCAAGATTTCGGCTTTAAATTCACTTTCTTGGACTAAGCTCACAATAATGTCTGAAGCTCTCTTGAGTCCAGGAACAATTAAAACTTCTTTAATTTTTAATGTTGAAGAACTGTCATTTTTCACAAATCTAAGACACCATGCCATTACGTGTTTGAGCTTATTCCAGGATGAAAATTTAGTAAGAATGTCAAATTCATTTTGATTATTGGATGCAATGCACGCCACAGTTTTTCGCTGCTCTTCAAGAAAAAGTTCCTTAAGTTCAGGATCTAAAATAGATTCAACCCTTTGATTACCGAAGTTACCTTGTCTTAGCCAAGGTGGACAGTGAAACCAAAGTTCATTGTCTATTAGATCTATTAACTTTGTACCTCATAGTACAACATCTGCTGGGTTTTCAGATCCCTTTCAAAACTGCCATTGAGAAGGAGCAATTAAATTCCGTATCTCTCTAACACAATTTGCTACGAAAGGCTTCCAATTATTGGCAGAGCCCTTTATCTAATGAAGTAGTATCTGAGAGTCGCTAAAGCAATAAATATTGCATTCCTTGATATTAAAGAGTGTTTTCAGATAATAGCTATCCTAGCAGCAATAGTAGCTGCCATCAGTTCCAAGCACTTTAAGGGAGCTTCTTCCAAGCTTTTTTAAGGGAGCTACTATGCTTTTAGATAGTGCAAAGGATGTCTCCAAAGTACTGGGATTTTTAAGATATGCTATACTTCCATATCCTTTGATACTGGCATCCGCGAAACCAATTAGGATCATATTTTCTGCATTAATTGCTGAACCACACAAAAATATCTTCTAGGAATATTAATGTTAGTAAGATCCTTGATTTCAGAATACCATGTCAAGAACTTCCTTCTTAGTGCAATCAGGTACCTCTGAATTCCAATCACAACCAGATTCCCATAATTCTTGAATCATAAACTTAGCTCTAATAACATATGTTGAAATTAATCCAATAGGATCATATATTTTGGCTACAGTTTGCAAAATGAGTCTTTTTATTTACTGTTTATCCATTAAGCGATCCCCTGAATTGTGTAACATCTAAACATATTTTATCTTGATCTGTATCCCACTTCAAGCCTAGAAATTTTGACGAGTTTTTATTTAAATTATTTTCCTCAATATCAATTCCACTTTTGACCCATAGTTCTCTTAGAACTCTAGAATTGCTTTTCATTTTACGAAGATGCATGTTTGCGTCTTTCAGAATATTCGCTGCAGTAGTTGACAGATAAAAGGCCTTATCATCATTTTCGGCCCCGTGCAAAAAGTCATCTACATACAAGAATTTATCTAAAATTTCTACACCGTTACTATGTTCCTCTTTATATTTCTTTATATGATATTTAATAGTTGCCGCAAGTGTAAATGGTGACTGACATGTACCAAAAGGCAATCGCGACATTTTGTATATTTGAAATGGCGAATTTTCATCATTTCGAACCAAATAAATTTTAAATAATTTTTTGAATCTTCGTCAAGCAAAATAGAATGAAATGCACCTTTTATATCTGGCCCAAAAGCTACCTTGTGTAACCTAAATTTTAAAATGATATCTAATAAATTGCTATACAAGTTGGGTCCCTGAATTAGACACTTGTTCAGAGATTTTTCACCTTTGTCCTTAGAGGAACAATCATAGACAATATGCACAACGGTAGTTGTCTTGTCAAAGCGAATTACAGGACTATGAGGGGCAAAATAGCTATCCTTCTCAAGTTTGCAATTTACAACATTAGAACATTTTTCAATTATACCTTTCTCTAATTATTCATTAATTAATTTCTTGTATTCACTAAATAACAACTCATTATGTCTCATTTTGTTTTCTAGCTTCAAAAACCTCTGTTTAGCAATTAGGAAATTATTTTTAAGCTCTGATTTTTTTCGTTAAATAATACTTAACGATGTATTTTATATTTTCGCAACGTAAATTCTTATTAAACAGATCAATAACCTCAAAGTCTTCCTGCGATAATGCATCGCTGTCTCTCATAAAGAATTCCTCTAGACGCCAAAATGACTGAATGTCAAACAGAATTGCTGACTTAGCGTCTACTTCTCTTAACTGAAGCATAACAAGTATTAACATTTGAAACGTTTTGATTTATGAAGATTTTTCAAAACATCCGCAAATTGTTTCTCCAATTAAAAATAACTCATCCGATATTTTTCTTCCTAGGCCTGTTTGTATAGACCAATGCTGATTAACCCATTAACCGCCAAAACTACAAGGAATGTTTCTTTTCTCATGAAAATAATAACGAATATTAAATTAAGAATTTATAACATAAATTTACATTGAAAATTTAAAAAATGCTCTTACCTGTAGAAAACGCGAGTGTTGCGTAACAGAATAAGACTACAGATGTTTAGTGAGTAGGATTGTACTCGTGTGATGTTTCTTTTGAGTGGAGCGCAGGATTACTTTTTAGCTGTATGATGTTTTATAACTCTACAAATCACTTTACTTATAATTAATTTAATATTAAAATATACTTCATATTTCTTTTACAAATGCAGATTATTTCAATTGAAATATTCAAGCATGAAAAGCTCGATTACAATCATGATTTAAAGCTACATTACATACTTTGCATCTATAAACAGTCTAGCTATTGTACTCTTTACAACAAAGTCTTTTGTTATCAACGTACTTTACGATAAAATGTGTACCATCTCCATGCAATGGTTTTTGAACACTGAATTTACTAGGTCTTCCTGTTGCTGATCTATTTCTGGCTAATTCTACACTCTCAATAGGCGTTTGCAAAAGGAATAATGCATTCTCACATCTGAAATCTAAAAGAGACTTTATATTTCCAGTAGTAAAAAATGCAAATTCTGCTTCATATTCCTGTACTGCAAACGTGATACTGTTTCTCGTACAACAGGAACAGAAATGTCCTTATCAAAAAACCAATACATTTTTGAGGTAAAGAATGATATCCTGTAAGCAATAATATTCCAAAAAATATTCTCATATAGGCTTCAGATGCAATAAATTCTGAGCATTTTTTTTTTTTTTTTTTTTTTCTCCTGAGCGTATATATTTCTATGTTCAACGAGAAGAGAGTAAATGTCTAAAAGCACTAGTTTTACCTTGTATTTTGTCTTTTATAATTTCTCTTCTATCTCTTTCTTCATGTTCTGAAACATAACTCACAGTTCCTTTTTTATCCACTTCAAGATTTCAGTCTTCTGCTTTTTAAATTTTTAGTATGACTATAACTGCTTTTAAAAGGCTGAAACTTAATTCTTACGTGAATTTCAACTTCCCCAGCAGTATCATTTGGTAAAATATCATTATTATTATTTAAAACATTGCCATTCATTTCTTCTTCGTCACTAGCTTCTACAATTTCTGGGGGAACAATAACAATATCAGTTTCATTCTGGTCATTATTAACATTATTATCATCTGTTTCTTCATCAAAAAGTCTTTGAAGGGCTTCTTCTAATGTAAAGATACCTTGTTTTAGGCATTTTTAAACAACCAGAACATCGAAAGGAATAAGTGAAGAAGGAGATTGACTACCCATTTCCTACCAACAGGTGTTGCGTCAGTGCAACACCTGTTTTCCCTTCCTTCCCAACACAAATATAAACATCTGACTGATGTAATGTTCTGATAAACGGTGATCTTGACTAAAAAATAGATCACTGATAAATACGGCAATTCTTTCGTTAAATATTTTCAGCCAAAATACCCGGTCGAAAATTTTGTTTAAAGTATGAGATTAATTATTATAAACAATATGATTGTTGAAGGCAAATATTTTTTACAAAAATAATCTTCATAATATTCCCTACACAAAATCATCTGCTGGTATAAAATATCTTAGGTAGATTTATTTTGACCGTTGCGTCAAGGCAACACCAGCAGCTAATGGGTTAAAACGCTTATTTTTGTTTCACTCGGATCATTTGCTAGTTAACGCCTTTGCTTTCTCATAAATTCTATCATGCACGGTGACAGTTGACCTTGAAGTTAGCTATCGTTATGGGATATGTTATCGGTTATGTAAACCTCAATAAATATTCTTTTTTGACGGATCAGTTCTACATTTGAGAGTTATTGAACTAACAGGAAATTCCTTTTCTTGGCAACTATTTCCAAAGGAATAAAATTTAACTTCTCTATTCTTTTTATAGGCAAATTTAATTTGTTTGCTAAATCTTGAGATCAATAGCTTAATTCTGAACCTGAATCAATTAACACTCAACAAATTGGTTTCTTTTGTTTACATTGCGTGACAACCAAACATGTTTGTAATAATACGGATTTGTTGTTCAACTCCGTTGTAGACACTACAGTTTTATTTTCGTTTGCACTTACTTCCATTGTAGAATTCTGACTTCTGGTTTGTTTTTAGATAAACAAAATAGTTTATTATGGGATGATTTTTTACAAATTTCACAAGCTTCTATGCGCGTTCTACAGTGAACTGCCCTATGTTTCTTAAAGCAGCGATAACACAAATTAGGTGTTTTTAAGGGGTATCGGAAACCCCTATACCGACAATGTTAAATTGCCCATTTTCGATGTAATTTTCTCAAAATCTGCTGTAGATACAAGCTTGAAATTTTTTCTGTAATTAAAGTATACCTATCTGATTATACTGAAATGAGCTTTTGAAACATTTTGAATTTTAGAGTAAATTACAGAATATTTTGTTAGGCATAGTAAAATTTAGCACTTTTCTCACACAAAAAAATTTAAAAAAAAATTTTTTTTTTCTAAGTTAATTACAAAAAGCTCATTTCAGCAAATATTAGGGAACCTAATAAATAAGCCATAAAAAGTTTAGATACCTGTGAGCAGTAGTTCCTGAGAAAAGGTACACCGAGTATAAAAAAAATCACGTTTGGAGAAAAATGCGTTTTTATGTAAAAATCCTTCTTGATCAAAGCAGTAGATGACAAATTAAAACTAGATTTTTTACAGTTCTAATTTTCATAGAGATTAAAGAATGGTATTTTTAGAAAGATAAAAGTGTAGAGAATTTGAAAATTCAAAAATCCGAAATCACAATTTTTGAAGATTTGGGGGTTTCAACACCCCTCAAGTACTTTCGTTTTGTTCATAAGTATATTCATTATAAATATTACAAAAGACACAAAATTTC